CCCGCAGCGCCGAAGCTGTTGCAGAAGTAACTTTGGGTCAATATTCCTGTGTAAAAAAGTGAGCTTATGATTTTACAGAAAAAAAGGATTACTCATAAACTATACTTTTCCGCAAGGGAGAAAGGGTAGGGGCTTCCCTTGAACCCACTCTTTCCCCCACCCCCGTACGCAGGTATTGGATGTCTATAGTTTTCCTTCCAAAAAAAAATATATATGTAGATCTCGACGTCCTTCAAATCGTAAGAACCGTAGTCGTGCCTTTTTTCCTTTATACTTAATTGAAACAGTCACTAAAAATATATGAGTACTTAATTATGTTCATATTTTTATTTCTACGTGGATATTTTTCGTAAATAATCTATTTTTTATTTACGTAGGTAACTCTTGCACGGCTATGCTGTAAGACGCGAGTGTTAGTTACAAAAAAGAACGTCGCCCGCCGCCGAGAACAAGAGAGCCGCATAGTATAAATCGACACGCTATTTTATATCTTAACGCTTTTTAGTTAGATCGATTTTCAGTCTACTCACAATACTATTCGGAACGATTGTAATGCCAAAAGTTAGCAAGTCGATATACTATTATGCTTTTTCAAATTTGTATAATTTGTAAAAAATTGTACTACTACTTTTCAGGATTATGCTGAAATATGGTTTAAGACATTTATTTCTCTAAAGAATATTACAATTAGCTTTTTAAGAGAAAAAAATCTACTTTTTTATAGGATAGGGTGACAAACGAGCACACAGTCCACCTGATGGTAAGTGGTTGCTGTGGCCCATAGACAGATGCGTTGTCACTCGTGAGGATTAAGATGGAATGCCTCGGTTCCAGTAAAAATGGTCTCCGGTTCTCTACACTCACCATACGAAACACAGCAGCACTAAGCTACTATTTAACGCTGGTATTCTGTGAGAGCGTGGTCCTTCCCCGGTCGAGCCGACCCATTCGTGCTACAACTATATTACCTACTAATATAACTGCAGCATGGCTCTACCACGTGTTTGCAATATAAAATTATATAAACATGAAGAGAATCATTTTAACCACGAAAACAGAATGTTTGTTGCACCGCACTTCTATTCCCGCTATTCGTTTACCTACGACGTCACCAGGGTGTCGTCTATCCTTGACCACGGCGCGCAATGAACTGATTGATAATCGATGACGCGCTAAAGCGGGCTACATACGACACGATATCGGTGGCGATCTAGGGTGGAGTAGTGGGGATGCCTCCTAGATTGCCTCTAAATCGTGTCGTATGTAGGGCCATCCTAAGTCGTGGCCGATATCGCCTCCTTAATCGGCTGGCAGGAGCAAAAATGCTTCCTAGATCAGCCGATGCTTCCTAGATCGGGGCACCGCCCCCTCCTTACTGCGTGTGTGTAGGCGCATCGGCCCGATTTCTTTTGGCAGTCGCTGCCGGCAACCCTCGCGGAAGGAAGTTAACAAAACAGTGATACTGAATGACCTTTTTTTATATAACAAAATTTTTACATTTTAATCATATAAACCGAGTAGAAGCCTATGGCACTGATATTTTACAAAAAAACCAAAAAAAAAAGTGAATAAAATAAATAAATTAATTGAAATTTTATCGAAATTCAAATCATATCCACCCTAGCTTGTGACCCTGCGAAGTGACATGGTCAAGAATGCCTACTAAACTAATTTTTATATTGCCGTTCGTAAAGTAGAGTGTATGATGTAAGTAAGGGGAAGATAAAGCCTCTCCTCAACAACTAACTCCTATTCCAACGCTATCAACACAAGACCGCACTCATATCTCTTACATCTCCACAAGACCACACTTCGATCTCTTACGTGCCTTCATCCTCTTATCAACAACTAACTTCTACTCCTTCACCATCTCCACATCAACAAAGTTATATAAAAGGGAGTATGTCCGAAATTAAAGGTTTCTTTATGTTTAAAAAAAAGATATAAGCTATTTTATTTTCTGATAGTTTTACTCCATAAATAAAGATTACACTAAAAAAAGTATACATATTATTATACAAAAGTATTTTATTTCCTTGTTTGTTGTGTGTAATACATAACCAGATTTTGACAAAAGCAGAAATGAACAAAGAGAAGAAATAACTAAATAGCATAGGTAGGAGGAATTGACGTTTTTATATAGGTGGCGAAATCATTTCTAGAGGGTTATAAAAACTGTCTTCATCTATCCGGAGAAAATTAATCACGTCCTTGGATTACAGGCCATTTAGTACGTTTATGTGGCTTAATTTTTATCTCTTTTGGAGCCATTTTTTCACCCAGCAACTTCTCTTTTTCTATTTTCGAATAAATTAACCGAGATGGCTAATGCCAAACCAACACGGTGGTGTTTTAAGAGAGTCGGAGGTATTTTGAAGAACTCTACCGCATATGCATTCCGCTCCAAGTCCGAACGCGTACTGCTAGGCAGGCCCGTGTGTAAGGTCTACCCCGATAAAAGCCCCGATTTCTTTCCAACCTAGATCGCCACCGATATCGTGTCGTATGTAGCCCGCTTAAGGATGCGCCAGAGTTGATATATTAGATTTATTATCCGAAGTTGATTTGATGAAATTTTCTTTTATTTATGTAGCTGATGATATTTTTATATTTCTTTCCTTTTGTTTTATTCAAATATCAATAATAATTAAAAAAAAAAACACGTTTGCGTTTAATTTTGAAGTTTTCAATAAATCTATGCTTAACGCATTACAACACTAGCGGTCAAATATAGACGACATTGGCGTGCTGGACATAGTATTTGCTTGGATAAAAATCCATTTTTTTTAGTTCAATGTTTCTGAGTACTTGTGGCTATACAAGACTTGTTTTTTAAACTTAAACATTGCTGGGATATGCTATATTGAGAAATGTAGAATTAAAATACCAGTAATAATTTTCCAATATCTATATTTCATATGTTTGTGGGCCGGGTTTTTTGTCGACTATAGACGTCGTTGGCGCTCAGGGCCCACAGGTGCTGGTCAAGTATAGGTGATTTTGGCACTCAAAAGGTTAAAAATGCCAATATATTTTAATAATTTCACGGTATGTTTTTTGTAAATGAAACAAAAATTACAAATGATATTTAATAAACAAACTTGACACTAAAATAAAATTATAATTATTAAAATACTATTTTATATATACATTACTATTTTATACATTTTACTTTACTTACATTTCTATTATCTCAGCTACAGGGCTCAGTAACATATTTTTAAACAATGACCACAGAATAAATAATAGTACTAGACGCACTTGCAATTGATTCGCTTGCATTTGCAATTTAAGTGAGTCCGCAAATACGTGCAGTCATGTCGCGTATTATGGTCGCACAGATATTATTGTGGTGGCACCGTGATGGATGCAGTGTTGATGCGGTGGTGCGTCAGTCGACGAGGCAGGAGTCATGCGCGGCGGGCTGCAAGTGCTGCACGGCGGCGCCCTCCAGCACGCTGTTGACGCGGCGGTGCGTCAGGCGACGAGGCAGGAGTCGTGCGCGGCGGGCTGCAGGTGCGGCGCGGCGGCGGTCTGCAGCACGCTGTTGACGCGGCGGTGCGTCAGGCAACGAGGCAGGAGTCGTGCGCGGCGGGCTGCAGCACGCTGTTGACGCGGCGGTTCGTCAGGTGACGAGGCAGGAGTCGTGCGCGGCGGGCTACAGGTGCGGCGCGGCGGCGGCCTGCAGCACGCTGTTGACGCTGCAGCACGCTGTTGACGCTGCAGCACGCTGTTGACGCGGCGGTGCGTCAGGCGAGGAGGCAGGAGTCATGCGCGGCGGGCTGCAGGTGCGGCGCGGCGGCGGTCTGCAGCACGCTGTTGACGCGGCGGTGCGTCAGGCAACGAGGCAGGAGTCGTGCGTGGCGGGCTGCAGCACGCTGTTGACGCGGCGGTTCGTCAGGTGACGAGGCAGGAGTCGTGCGCGGCGGACTACAGGTGCGGCGCGGCGGCGGCCTGCAGCACGCTGTTGACGCTGCAGCACGCTGTTGACGCGGCGGTGCGTCAGGCGACGAGGCAGGAGTCGTGCGGGGCGGACTGCAGCACGCTGTTGACGCGGCGGTGCGTCAGTCGACGAGGCAGGAGTCGTGCGCGGCGGGCTGCAGCACGCTGTTGACGCGGCGGTGCGTCAGGCGACGAGGCAGTAGTCGTGCGCGGCGGGCTGCAGCACGCTGTTGACGCGGCGGTGTGTCAGGCGACGAGGCAGGAGTCGTGCGCGGCGTCTGCAGCACGCTATTGACGCGGCGGTGCGTCAGGCGACGAGGCAGGATTCGTGCGCAGCGGGCTGCAGCACGCTGTTGACGCGGCGGTGCGTCAGGCGACGAGGCAGGAGTCGTGCGGGGCGGACTGCAGCACGCTGTTGACGCGGCGGTGCGTCAGGCGATGAGGCAGGAGTCGTGCGCGGCAGTGCGTCAGGCGACGAGGCAGGAGTCGTGCGCAGCGGGCTGCAGCACACTGTTGACGCGGCGGTGCGTCAGGCGATGAAGCAGTAGTCGTGCGCGGCGGGCTGCAGAACGCTGTTGACGCGGCGCTGCGTCAGGCGACGAGGCAGGAGTCGTGCGCGGCGTCTGCAGCACGCTGTTGACGCGGCGGTGCGTCAGGCGATGAGGCAGTAGTCGTGCGCGGCGGGCTGCAGCACACTGTTGACGCGGCGGTGCGTCAGGCGACGAGGCAGGAGTCGTGCGCAGCGGTGCGTCAGGCGACGAGGCAGGAGTCGTGCGCAGCGGGCTGCAGCACGCTGTTGACGCGGCGGTGCGTCAGGCGACGAGGCAGGAGTCGTGCGCGGCGGCCTGCAGCACGCTGTTGACGCGGCGGTGGGTCAGGCGACGAGGCAGAAGTCGTGCGCGGCGGCCTGCAGCACGCTGTTGAGCGGCGGTGCGTCAGGCGACGAGGCAGGAGTCGTGCGCGGCGGGCTGCAGCACGCTGTTGACACGGCGGTACGTCAGGCGACGAGGCAGGAGTAGTGCGCGGCGTCTGCAGCACGCTGTTGACGCGGCGGTGCGTCAGGCGACGAGGCAGGAGTCGTGCGCGGCGGGCTGCAGGTGCGGCGCGGCGGCGGCCTGCAGCACGCTGTTGACGACGGCGCGCGCCAGGTAGCCCAGCGTCACCGCCGGAGCGCCCGCGCTCAGCCCCGCGCCTGCATCCACACCCGCCGAGCCGCTATCCTATACCACACAAATTACCATTGAACTCAGAGTCTAACTCCAACTCTGATCATCATTTGCCATTACAGTCCATCAAAAGTCTTGTACAGTGCAAGCGTACATTTTAGTGTGTAAGCGATTTATTTAGGTCAACATAATTTGCGTCATTCACTTTAGTTTTTAGCAATGGACAGTTGACGTTGTCGCTCAGAACACGATAGACGCGTTCTATATCATTATCAATATCATTATTTATTTTAAATAAAATCATTTTTCCTATCAACTATCATTTAAAGGTGTTCCGTACATCTTTATGGTCCTTCGAGCTCCGTAGCGGGACCTGAAATTCGGGTTTTAACGACCGGAAAAAGTGTTTCCGCTCAGTGACCTATTGCGACATAGTGCACTAAGTGACGTGTGCAATAGCTTTCCAGTTTGTACTAATAAGTGTGCAGCATCATTTCATTATCAATAAGCTCCGGCCATCGGTGTCACAAAGCATCAAGGATCAAGCAGCATTTGTGGGCGTAGCGAGTCTTGGGGCGCCGCCCAGCAGTAGCAGCTTGGAGCGCATCAAGAGAATCTAAGTCTTCGTTGGGTACTTACCACCAGTACAGCACGAACGCGCCAACCACCTCTGCACAATCAGCAACCAGCATCACATCAAGTAAGATCTTTCCATTTTACTTATCTCTATATCATAATGTCTGTCAACGATGTCCTCACTACGCAGCAGCAGATATCAACAGCAATTGAAAATTTGTATACTAATTTCAAGAAGGACGGGTCGGATAGGAAGACTCCAGACTATATCAAACGCAGATTAAATGCTCTAGACGACTATTGGTTTGAGTATGAGAAGAATTATCAGCATTTAACGCAACTGGATATGGATGTACCAAGCAGAGAAAGAATAGATCAAGAACGTGAAAGATTGAAGGAGAGATTTGACAACATTAGAGCGCATATCCAAAACTATCAGCCTTTGACAGAGGATAGACCTGGAACAACACTGTTAAAGCCCCCTACAATTGTCTCTAAAACAAATCCAATCACGCCGCAAATGAGTACAAGATCAACATCGAGCAAAACAGAAGAGATGTTGAAAAAACAGAATAGCAATTTTAAAGCATTTCAACGAACACTATCAAATATCAACCTGGAATTAGTATCAGAGAAATGGGAATTCGAAGACTTGTTACGTACTCTCCAGTCTCGTCGGGCAGCTATCGATGCCTTACACTGGGAGTTGGATAGCGAATTGGATGATTCCAATGAAGCGTATGAAGAAACCTTCAGCTTCTATGAACAAAAATTTAGCCAAGTCAAGAAAGATATCAATACAAAGATGTGGTCTGAAAGTCACCGAGAAAAGTCCACACCCCAGATGGACATATCTACGTTCACTGGCATTATCATCAGTGGGTATCATTTAAGGATTTGTTTTGCGAAGCAGTTCATACCAATCGAACCTTGTCAAATGCCCAAAAAATGCAGTTTTTGAAAAGTAAACTTAGAGGAGAACCGGAAAAAATGGTACAGCATCTGCATATCAGTTCGGACAATTATCAAGTTTGTTGGGATTTGTTGAATCATCGATACAATAATAACAAATTGATTTTTGGGTCTCATATCAACATTCTTTTAAATATACCTATCGCTCAACAGCAATCAGAAGCACATATTAAGAAAATTTATGACAGCGTAAACGAAAGCCTAAATGCCATAAAAAATCTAGGCATAGACATAAGTTCATGGGATCCTTTGGTGGTACATATATTGTCTCAAAAACTAGATGCCGAGACTCACAAAGACTACATCGAATCCCTAAAGAATCCTAGGGATTTTCCAACTTTAGCAGATTTTATAAATTTTTTTGGAAAATAAATTTACGTCACTAGAATCATCCCGACGCAAACAAGACTCCACAACAAAATCTTCTCAGCCTGAAAAAACATCTCATCAAAAGAAGCCTCATTATTTTAAATCATTTACCAGCAATCAAAATCAAGTCACAAATTATGCACAGAAAAACTCACAAACAGGATGTCCATTATGCAAAAATGAAAACCACGGCATATTTCACTGCAGCAACTTTCTCAAATTACAACCAACGGAAAGGCGAAATACAATTGCGAAATTGAAATATTGCTTCAATTGTCTTTACGATCACTACGGCAAAAGTTGCATATCGGCAAAACGTTGCCGCGAGTGTAATGGCCGACATAACACACTCATACACGAGGCCTACGTGAAGCCGTTGACCTCAACAACAGAACAACGTAGAAATGCTAGCAACGTGTCACAAAATAATATAAATGAAACCCTCTTAGCAACAGCACTAGTAAAAGTACAGTGTGTTAATGGCACTTATGTCAAAATTCGAGCGCTGATTGATCAGGGTTCCCAGACCTCCCTGATTACTGAGAAGGCAGCTCAAATGTTACAACTTCCTCGACAGAGGTGCAAAGTGTCATTTTCGGAGTAGGAGCAAAGGAAAACAACTGTAAAGGTGTTATTAACATAACTTGCTCATCGGCTTACAGCGCCTATCAATTTACATCAGATGTGTTTATCATGAAAAACTTAATTAACAATCTGCCCAACAAGACATTCGACAAACCAGACTGGTCATATCTAGAAAATATTCAACTCGCCGATCCTGAATTCAACGTGAGCCGCCCAGTAGACTTGTTGCTGGGGGCGGACGTCTATTCTTCTATCATATTAGGCGGTATCATTTCATCACAACAATCACAACCTGTGGCACAGCAAACACGTCTCGGGTGGATTTTATGTGGCAACGTAAAATCCTATCAATGCAACGTTATTATGAACAATATAGATGAGATTCAACGTTTTTGGGAGATAGAAAACATACCTGACGAACTCACCATGACCCAAGAAGATGCTCAATGCCTTGAGTATTTCAAAAACACGACAACAAGGCAAGAAGATGGGAAATACATAGTTAGATTGCCATTTATATCAGAAGCAGTTCAAAAATTGGGAGAATCAAAATCAAGAGCAATAGCGCAGTTTAAACAGTTAGAAAAAAGATTTACTTACCGAAAAGATATTGAAAAAAGAATATAAATCATTTATCCACGAGTACTTGGAATTAGGTTATATGAAAATGTCGCCATGCAACAAGACGCCTGTCTACAGTCTGTATTTACCACATCATTGCATTCACCGACCGGAGTCAACAACAACTTCGCTTCGAGTAGTCTTTAACGGAGCGTCAAAAACTTCGAGCGGCTTAAGCTTGAACGACGTGATGCACCAAGGTCCCAACCTGCAACAGGACCTGTTATCACTAATTATCACCTGGCGACAGTACCAATATGCCTACACCGCTGACATCGAGAAAATGTTTCGGCAAATTCTCATTCACGAAGAAGATCAGAGATATCAAAGAATCATATGGAGAAATTCACCAACTGAAACTTTACAAGAATATCAATTAGCTACTGTCACATATGGAACTAAAGCAGCACCATTGCTTGCCATGATGGTATTGAAACAGCTAGCCAAAGATGAAGGTCATAAGTATCATGAAAGCCCAGCAGCGAAGGTCCTGCAAGAACATTTTTATATGGACGACCTGATCAGTGGAAGTCATGACCTCGCATCAGCTAAAAGGTTACAATCAGACTTAAAAAACTTACTAAAAGCAGGTGGATTTAATTTAAGAAAATGGTCAGCCAATACACCGTGTCTTCTAGAGGGAGTCAGCACAGCAAATACCAACCAGCAAACATATGACTTCAAAACTGAAGTATCTACAAAAACCTTAGGCCTGCAATGGCTTACGCAATCAGATCAGCTGACTTTTGACTTGAAGATCGATTTATCAACATCAAAACTAACGAAACGAAGCTTGTTATCAAATATCTCAAAGCTCTACGACCCAGTAGGATTCTTAACGCCAGTTAGCACAAAAATTGAAATTATTATTCCAAAAAATTTGGCAATATGACTTAAAATGGGACGACGAGCTTCCTCATGAGATTCAAGTGGATTGGACGAAGATCAAAGAAGATATCAAAAATATATCACAGATACGTATACCAAGATGGTTAAAGAGCAACAAAAATGACGTCATCATTCTTCATGGGTTCAGTGACGCGTCGATGAACGCATACGCTTGCGCAATTTATTGCAAGATAGTTCGTGAAAAACAAGAGGGAAGTAAAAACATATCCGTCGTCCTCGTTACAGCAAAATCCAGGCTAGTACCACCGAAAAAGAAGATCAGCTTACCTCGCTTAGAACTGTGTGCAACCCTACTTTTATCAAAGCTCATGAAAAAGGTGAAATCATGTTTGGCAGATTACAATATCAAAATGTTTGGATGGTGTGATTCGACAGCAGTATTGGGTTGGTTGCAAGGAGATCCGAAACGCTGGAACGTTTTTGTAGCCAACAGAGTAGCTAAGATCACAGAAGTTTTACCATCGGAATGTTGGCGCTATGTCAAGTCGCAGGATAACCCAGCTGACTGTGCCAGCCGAGGAATCAGCACGAAACAGCTTCATCGACATCAGTTGTGGTGGCATGGACCAGCGTGGTTATCATACTCCGACGATGATAACGTAAAGAAGATCACTTACACCACCGATGAAGAGGTCAAAACCATAAAGCAAGTACACACCACAACCTGCTCAAGCGAAGACGACGTCATTACCCAATTAATAAGCAAGCACAGCAGTTTCACGCGAGTGACACGAATATTAGCCTACATACTACGTATAAAGCAAAATAATAAGCAAAGCTATTTAACAGCACAAGAATTACAAAAGGCAAAGCAAAAAATTATTAAGCACGTACAAAGCAAGGAGTTTGGAGAAGATATCGGCTATTTACAAAAGTATAACAAAGCAAGGCCAAATAGCAAATTATTACCTTTAAATCCTTTTATCGATTCTGAAGGTATGTTGAGAGTAGGTGGTAGACTGCAAAACGCTTCGATCAGCAAAGAAATGATGCATCCCCTTATCATCCCCCACGAGAGTCAC